GCAGCTCCATTGCCTCTCCCCTTGCCCCTGAAGTGGGCCCCCACCTCACTGCTCCCTCTCCCCCTTTCCCCTTAGTCCTGAAAGGGAGGGGCAATGGTCCAGGCTTAACTTCTGCGCCTACCCCACCCCCCACTCCGGAATTTCAGGTATGCCCTGGTGTCCAGGGACAGAACCACCTGCCTGTTCTCCATTTATATCGAGATTCTTTGAATACTTTTGTAATTAAGGGGAGCGCCCAGAGGAAGGAGTTTTAATTTATCTATATGGGTAGCTCGCGTCTCTGCCATTTGTAGTCTTTGGCCCTGGATTCCGCATAGATGAGCTTCTCCGCTTGCATATGAGTTGACTGACGTGTGCGTAACTTCATTTGGTTATTTCTGGTATCTGCGGCCACTTAAATGGATTGTTTTCACATTCTGTTCCCCAGTTACAGAGAAGAGTCCCTTCGGTGTATGAATATTCGCCCCTATAGAGGGTAGACAGGGTGAGGAAGGGATAGGTGTGGTGTACACAAGAGTTGAAATTCCACTTTTATGCATTTTAAAAAAAAAAAAAAAAACGAGTACAAAGAGGATGTCAGTTTCCTATGGAAGAGACACCTCTGACCCTTTATTCTTATAATCAAAATCTCAAGGGAGAAAAAGGGTTTTTGTTCTTTCCCCCACTCATTGGGTTCGAATAGATTAAACGGCTGATTTTCAGAAATATTGCTATGTGTTTCTTTCTACTCGATTGTGGCTAGGTAGCCTGGAAGCTCAATCCCAGCTCCCAGAAGGAAATTTAATTCTAGAAGAGAGAATTGGGAATTATGGGAAGGATCTCTGAGAGTGATCAGAAAATCATCTTCTGGACTCAGCGCTTCCTTTGTTGAATCCCTACAGAATGTTCCAGAATCTGCCATTTTCTATCTGTGTAGCCTCAGGCCACGTCTTTACCATCTAAGTGCTTCAGTTTCCTCAGGTGAAAATGAGAATAGGAACAAAACAATCTTGTAGGGCCATCGCAGAAATTAAATCTATAATACGTGCAAGTAAATCATACCGAATTAGAACGAGCTCAGGTATGCAGGAAAGTGATGCATGGTAAATTTTCAAAAGTGGCGGTTGTTTCACGTCGGTATTCCCAAATAGAATATAATCATCTTGAGAACAGAGCTAACTTTTCCCCACAGCTTTGAGCCGAGGTGTTTCATACATACTCGATTTCCAAGGACCTGGCATTCCTTTTTCAACCTTAAGGTCAGCGAAGGGAGATCATGATCACTTATAACAAAGGGACTTACATGGATATATGCCATCCTGCTGTCCAGTCCTTTAAGGTCCTCACTGGGACAGCACGAACATGGGTGAACACCCAAGGGACGAATGTGGGAGCGAGACCCGTCTGCAAGACCCTCATCATCGACCCTCCTATCCCTCTAAAGTCCTGTCTGCTACTTGAATTACTGTGACACTCAGAGCTAGTGGTCAAAAGTAGTCTGCCTACCAGCCATCAATTATGTGTGTTCCCCGACCTGTTTAGGCCCACTGTGCTCTGCTCTGTAATGATGTGACGGCCTATGAATTATGATTGAAACATAAAGAATCTAATAAAACTAAGTTGAATACTTTGGAGAGACCTATTAAAGGTAAGTTGCCACCCCCTCCTCAAAATGCTGCTGAATTCAATACGAACAAGACCAGTGAAAAGATTTGAGGGCAAGGGAAGTCCCTGGGGATCCTGCATTCACGTCAAAAGGGTTCAAGTTCTCACTCCACGTTATTAAAGAAACCAAAACCTGGGACTTGGGTTGGTTTAATGTCATTTCCCAATGGAATGAAAACACCTTGCTTCAGGTCAAAAGCTTGGCGGATGTGTTTTAAATTGACTTTTAAGGTATGTATGTGTCATTTTTGTGATTTCGCCCTCAAACCAATTCCTTTGGTTGTCTAAACAAGTGCAGATTACAGTGTCTTCTTGTAAGAGGATTTCTCAATCAGGATTGCAGTGCAGGTACATCTTAGGGGAGGTGACGGGTTGGGGGCAGTGGTGGTTCAGGCAGGAATGGCTTCTCCTGGGGAGGTGTTGCAGTTGCAGCAGAGGTGACATTATAGGGTCACACCCATGAAGGAAAAAGCTTATATGTTGCAGCCCATGCTGCCCTGGGTTGGGGGTGGGGGTCAGGTACGCAGAGGGGGCGTGAAGCTCGGGAAGAAGTGGCACGTAGCTATGGCCCTCATGAATGGTAGCTGCAGTTCGTTTTCATTCACAAATTAATATTTGATTCCTGCCTGAAACAATGATATGCATGCTCTCAATGTGGCAGGCCACGCTGGTGGTCCTAGTCCCTTCTGAAGAAACAAGTTCATCAGCTGCTCCAACAATAGATGTAGCCAGTGGTCCAGGAATGTGAGGGGACTGTGAGGAGGACATTCACAGAGAGCCTAGCCGCGTACCCCACCCCCCCAGCAGTTGTCTTGTGTCAGTTACGTAGGATGAGCTCATACACTTTATTCTGACCGTAATTATTTTTATGGTAATCCTCGTAATAGCTACCAGTGGCTGGGCATCCTCCACATGCCAGGCAAGGAGCGATCGTTCAGGTCTTGTCTTAATCCTCACAGCAATGCTGCGAGGTGGGCGTTACCTCATTTTTAGGAAGGACGAAACAGACATTTAGTCATGTGTCTCGGCCACACAGCTAGCAGGTGCCGAAGTTGGAATTGTCAGGCCACAGCCGCCTGACTCCAGGGTTCTGCCTCGGCCCCTAAGATCTTACTGTGTCAAAAGGGGAAAAGTGAGCCTCCTCCCCCGCAGAAAAGGGAAAATTGAAAATAGAATACTTTTGTGTTTTTGTTTGTTTTCTTTTAAACGGCCTGCAGAGGAAAGCTAAATGGAGTATTGGGGATTTTCTTCAAAAATGTAAAACTCTTAAAACATGATTTTAATTACACAACTAATACATGCTCATAGCCCCATTGGAGGAAAATCAAAAGAGCAAAAGATTAAAAAGGAAAAAGTAAAATCACCTTTAATCCCACTCATTAGAGATAATCACTGTTAATATTTTAATGATATCTTTCCATAAACAAAATGGGATCCTGCTGTTAACAGTATTTCGTAGTTGACTTTTTTCCTTAATAGACACCTTTCTATTTTAATAACTATTATAATAACTTTATTAATTACATTTATTGGCTGCAAGATAGCAGTAACTATAGTATCTAATGCTGGGTCCTTGTCATTCTCTACTCCTTTCTCATTCAGAACCTGTTTTCTAGTCTGTAAAAAGGACCCTTCAGAGGGTTGCTTACCAGGTTAAACGAGGTAATGTTTATTAAGCTGTTAGTGCAATGCCTGACGGTAAATGCTCAGCCTAATAAGATTAGCCATTACTGTTCATATAATAACGTCTACCATCTATGAAGTGCTTCCTTTGTGCCAGGCATTGTGTTAAGGGTTTACTTAACCCTGACACCAAATCCATGTGGGACGTGCTATCATTCTTCCCATTTCTCAGATGAGGAAAGTAAGTGACCAAGAAGCTAAATATCTTATCTGAAGCTTCAGAGCCAAGAAGTGGTGGAGATGCAAACCCAGGCAATCGGAACCCAGGGAGGGCTCTCAGTTCCTCACCACGCGCCATCACCCTCTGCCTCTGAGACATACAAATATCCCCTTGGCATTTCCTTTGTGCCAGGCACTGTGCCAGGTCCTGGGGCTCCTCTACCAGTCCCTGTGCATGTTGCCAAGGGAGGGCATGCGGCAACATAGTAGCCGATCCCACCAAGTCCTGGTTAGGGTGGCTGAGTCTCCAAAGGAGCATGTGGAGGCTAAAAAAAAAAAAAAGACCACAATTCAAGCACAGTGTTGCATGTGCTTACGTTAAGCACAGAAAGTTTACAGTTTGTGTCATTGGGAGTTAATGGCAAAAATCTGAATGCGAGGACACGGTGAGGCTCCGTGGAGATAAGGAATAATGGATGACTATAATTGAGCTCGATATGTCAGACACTGTTCTAAACACTGTAAACGGATGAACTCATTTAGTCCTCATAATTCCACGAGGCACCTACTAAGATCATCCCCATTTTACAGATGAGGGAACTGAAGCTCAGAAACATGGAGGCGGCTCTCCCAAACAGAGCTAAAACACTTGGCAGTGGGGTGGGGGGTGGGGAGGAGTTTTGCAAAGCCTGGTGGTTGTTTCACCACGATCTTCAAACATATGTGCGTCTCAAAATCTCTGGTGAGGGGAGTGCTTGCTTTAAATTCCCATTCCTTGAGGCCGACCTGTCACTGTCTGGTTTGTAGGACTGTGGTGGAACAGGAACATCTCCATTTTGAACAGGCTCCTCGGTGATTTTAAGAAGCAAGTCGACAGATTGTATTTGGAGCATCATGATGTTTAAATCACCCCAATAATATGCCTAGATGACCTCTGCGGAGAATAGCATGGACAAAGAAAGAGTTTGAGAGAGGAAAGAGGCTATTGATGGTTATCTATTAAAAGAACGTCAAGCCCTGCAAAAGTACCCCCCGCCTCCCCAGAGGCGCAATCTTTTCGGGGTTCTGGGCATGACCCCCAGCGCCGCTTACCCCTCGGGTGGTGCCTGCAAACGAGGCGCTGCGATCCCACCCCAAGCCGCAGGGGGCGCCATTCAGCTTTGCTCCCAAGGAATGGGTCACCGCTTTCTTTCTGCGCTTGCGCGGCAAGGACGCCTCACTTCCCGCCTTGCGCGCGCATCGTCTGAGTACTTCCGGCGCCAGGTAGGTGAGTAGATGCAGGTATCTTTCGCGGACTGTGAAGCTCTCCTCTCTATGGGACCCTTCCTCACCTGCTGCAGACCTACCCGCTTCCCCAGAGATGTCTCTGCGTGACCCCAACCGTGCATTCTTTAGCCCAGGCCATCCTCCTTCAGCCTCAAGGCCCCAGCGCCGCCCTCTCCCCACGACTCCTCTGGTCAGGCATGCGCCCCCATGCGCGCCTTACTCAGTGTAACACCCAGAGCCCTCACATCCCGCGTCCTACTCCTTCAGTCGCTTTCCGAGGCCACCTCTTCCCGTAGAGCATTTGCGCGGGGGGCGGGAGGTGTGTCCCGGCACCCCACTGAGCGCCCCTTCGCGCCTTCCCTCGTGACTTTTTCCAGACGGTCGCCATGAAGTTCAACCCCTTCGTGACCTCGGACCGCAGCAAAAATCGCAAACGCCACTTCAATGCGCCCTCGCACGTGCGCCGGAAGATCATGTCGTCCCCGCTCTCCAAGGAGCTGCGACAAAAATACAACGTGCGCTCCATGCCCATCCGCAAGGATGACGAGGTCCAGGTACGACTTCCAGCTGCGTCGCGCGCGGGCGCCGCCCTCGCCCGACATGCTTGGACGTGGGGGAGTCATAGACTCCCTTGCCCGCGGGATCCTGGCAAGTAATGTGACCCCACAGATGTGTTAGCTCAGATGGGGCCCAGAGCGAGTGGAGAGCACCTGCCCAGCTTCCGTTAAGAGCATTCAGATTCAATTCTGTAGTAATAATAATAATAATAAAAATGTCTTTAAAAAAAACATAACAGCATGCCAGCCCAGCAAAACTCTGCTTTTTGATTTAGCCACGTGGCTGCCAATTTGCCGGGCCCTGCTTAGGGTGGCTCTCTGCGCCAGACTCTGCGGGGGGAAGACTCCCGGGTCAGCGTTGCCGACCCAGCTGGCCTTCTAATTGTTTATGGAAATCTCCACTAGACTGTCTCCAGTTGCCTCGAAGTCAACATGTTACAAACTGTTTTCTCCTAAAATCTGTTTCTTTCTCCATGTTCCATGCTCTGGGAAAGGCATAGCCATCTGTCCAGTTGCCCACCCAGACTCTGGATATCAGACTCTGGATATCAGACTCAAAATCTCTGGATTGCCTCTTTTCTTCGCTCTTTTCAGTCCAGTCGATTTAGTCCCATCCACCTCCTCACTGGGCCAAGCGTTCGTCCAGCTGTTCCTTTGGCTTCCTTTTATTAACATTTTTCTTCAGACTCGGTGATAGTTAATAAGGGCTTTTTCACAGACTTTTCCATGTGAGTCTCTGGTCTTAGAGAGAGTAGTGGATTTTCGGTGAGATGTGGCTATTCTCTTTTCGACATGAAAATCACGTTGGTAAATAAGCTGAACAACCTAGGTAGACGTTGTAGGAGTGTTGAGCTTCTCCAGTTCTTTATATGTGGTTCTTCCTCTGTGCTTATTAACGAACATCACCTTTGTTATGGCTACTGTTTAATATGCTCTGGCCTTCGGGGAATCTATAATCTAGTTGATTTTTAAAGATTTTTCAACTAGTTGGAGCGTGAGCAGATTTTTAGTACAGGAAACAGCCAACGAGATTTTGACTTATGATAAGAAAACCATTCAGGTGGAGAATTTCCACCTAACTTAAACTAACACAAAGCAGATGTATATCTAAAAAACTGCTGGTTTTTGTCTGCCGGAATTAATCTGCTTTTGTATAAAAAGTTGTATCTTAGCCTGTGTGTTCCTGATAACTAGTTTCTTCACTGTAATGTTCATGCATTAGAAATGGGAGAAATTCTCTTGTATTTTCTCTCAGGTGGTTCGAGGACACTACAAAGGTCAGCAAATCGGCAAGGTAGTACAGGTGTACAGAAAGAAATATGTCATTTACATCGAGCGAGTGCAACGTGAGAAGGCCAACGGCACAACTGTCCACGTGGGCATTCACCCGAGCAAGGTATGGCCCGGGCCCGAGCAGCGGTGACAGCCTTCCATTGTGCTGCTGTAAGACTTATTGACATGTCGGCACTGTTTACACGGGTGGCCCTGGCAAGGACTTCAGAGGGAGGTCGGGCAGGCTCGATTGATTCACTGGCTTAGTGATGGGATCCAGATTCTTTTCTTGTCTGTTTTGTCGTTTTTGGTGAAGGCTCCTTTCTTCAGTCAGGTAGCAGGGGAGTTCTAGGCATTCCAGACGTCACTTCCCCACCAGATAATGTCCAGATGGAGGAGAGGCTATTTCGTCCTGGACCCTCACACCCATCTAGTGGAATAAGCTGTTCTTCCTTTGCGCTCCCATTTTATACACCGTATTGTAGGGTCTCTCTCCTCCAGAGTTTCAGATCCTCAAGGCAGAATAATTGGGGTCTGCTTACCCTTGTGATCTCTGTATTGCCCAGTAGCTGGCGGGAATGCAGGTGTTTCTTAAACAATGCATTTTGCCAGCCAAGGGATACTAGACAAACCAGAAACATGTTGGTTGTATAATTTTTCCCAACTCAAATAACATTTCATGTCACTAAGCTGTCTAAACATCTCCTGGATTCTCGGGAATTAGGAGACAGGAGGTTGGGGAACAGAAGGAATCTAAGCTGCGCTTGTCAAGGGAGACCCTTCTGTACAAAATAATCTTGGTTATAAATCCTTTCCACTTAAAAAAACAAAGATCTGTTTGTTTTCTCCAAATAGGTGGTTATCACCAGGCTAAAACTGGACAAAGATCGGAAAAAAATTCTTGAACGGAAAGCCAAATCTCGACAAGTTGGAAAGGAGAAAGGCAAATATAAGGAAGAACTTATTGAGAAGATGCAGGAATGAATAGAACATGTTGTGCAACCGTGGTTTAACTATAGATTTTTTTTTTTCCTGGTTTCTATTCCTTTGAAACTTCAAAATCTCTGGAATATTTTGTTTCCTTCCTGTTTTGTTATTGATACGTGGCTTTGTAAGTCTACTTTTGCTGTTTTGATTAATTTTATGAATAAAAATTGAAAATGTTTCCTAATTCAAAATGGAATTCACATTGTTCTGTAGATAAAACCCGTCTTATTAATTCCCAGTGGCCATTCATATGTTTCATATGTTTAATGTACTAGCAGCAGAATAGCAGGTGTATGATGGCCCTGCTCCTGCCTGGACCGTCGTGCTGATGGGGTGGATAGAACAGGTCCCTCACGCAGGGGTTTGTCCCACTCAATAGCGGTCACAATGTAAACTGGCACTCACGAGACCCCACTGAGCAGCTGGTGCTGCTCTGTACACCCGTGTCTCAGGCCTGACACATGGCTCTCTGGCTAGCTTCCGCTCCCTTGCGCTCCACCAGACCAAATGGGGTGCAGCTCCCTGACCAGGCTGCCCTGCCCACGGCCTTGACTTTGCAAGTGCCATTTCTATGCAACTGAATGCCCTTCCTCTGTGCTGGGGCTAACTCAGAAAACTAATGGCCTGTTGGCAAGAATTGGCTCACAGACAGATTTTGTCCTATTGCTTTGCATGATTTTTAAAAATTAACTTCAAACATTTAAAACTTAGGAGCTCCGCAGAGAAATCCGAATCTCGTGCATCATCTGGCTGCATGGGGCCCTGATCCTGCATATCATGAGTAGTGTGAAGCCAGAGCCTGGCTGCTCCCTATTTAGCTTATTTCCTCTGTGCCCGGCCCCCCATGGCATCTGAGTTTTAAGACTCCAGATCTAACTTATAATCATTCTTCAAGATTTAGCACCAGAGCTATCTCTGAAATCTTGCCTTGCCCCTATGATAAATAATCTTTCAGTTAACATGCATCATGTAAATTTGAGATGTGGATTAGGATGTATGTAAAATGTATTTACACAGCACGTGAAATAGGTACTGCACACAGCAGCTGTGTTAGTACACTGAGCTATGTCTAGTCAGTATAATGAGTACGTCAACCCAGTAAGGTCTGTAGTTTTTTTCTCTTTTGAGTTTTGTCTTTATTCTCAACCAACATGTTGGAGGACCCAAAACCTGAAAAGTCACATTTCATACTAGATTAAATTTATTGTAAGGATAACATTTTGTTGCCTGTTCTGGCTCCAGCCAGTACTCTTCATCAGTGAATTTATATTTACTAGGAGTCAGACTTGGCTTGTTTTCAGCAACTTGTTCAGTATGCGATATAGATAAGAACTTTGAGAGCTTTTTACTGCATGTAAAGCACAGAGTGTTCAGCAGATTTTAGCTATTGTCTTAGAGAATAATGGAAGTGGGTTCATTTGTAGGGGCAGAGGGAAAAGTTGTTCTCAAGGGAGTTCAGACAAATGCTGGTTCTTGAATGAAGGGGAGAATTTAAGGACAGCAGTATTGTGTTATGGCTGCTGCAGGAAATGGGGTCAAGAATGCCAGATGGGTGGGCCTGCCTATCAAGGTTCAGGCCCTGGGATATTAGCGTGTTTCCTGCGATGACTGAATTAAGCCGTTTCCTACTGACCTTTTCACCAAATCTGCAGATATTCATTCACTTGAGTGGGTCTCCTTGTGCTATTTGGGAAGGCTCCAAACTCTTAAACTTCAGATAATTGCTTCTGAATATTTGCTTTTATACTGCACTCACGCATGAGATGCTCAGCTCTAGAGCTTTCGGTGTGAATTGGGCAGGCAAGTAATAGAATTTTCTGACAACCAGACAGAATTCTACTAACCAAGGGTCCATGGGACTCTGCTGATGCTGCAGACATCAAGCAGTTCCCATCTGCTGGTGGTTTAAGTCTTTTTTCATTGTTTTAAGCTAGTTTTCTTTTTGTTTGTTTGCTTGCTTTAAGAAGTAATACTTAGTATGGTACAACAGAAAAAGTACAAAAGATAAACAGTGAAAAGTTCCCTTGTCACCTTGGCTCTCAGTCAATCTCTTCTCCCCAGAAACAGTCACCGTTCCCAGTTTCTTTTGTATCCTTTCAGAAATAGTCTGTGTGGATATGATTAGGTGTTTACTAAAAGTTTGATCCATGGAGAAGGCTACATGAGAAAAGCAGGTGGTCCAGATTGAAACAGCTGTATGTGGATGATCTACTGCCTGAATACCTTAATTACAATACCAACATGCACAAATATTAAATAAAATATTCTTTGTCCATCACAAATAACTGAATCAACCACATTCTAATTCTAGAACAGGTTTTCGAAGGGCTCATTTTACACAGTGGAGGTCTATCTTGTTAAGTAGTGTATAATTTAGGGTTTTTGCTGACATACTGTTTGAAATAGGAGAGGGAGTATGGCTTAGTGGGAAGAACAGGAGCTGTGAACACGTTCAGATCCCAGTTCTGTCACTTAAAACAGCTAGACGTGGGGCAAGTTGCAAATCTGAGCCTCTCTTTCCTAACATATAAAATGGATTTAATAATATTTATATTAGGTGTCGCGAGTGCCGAATGAGACAGGTAATGAAAAATAACTCTTTCCAACCCCCCCCTCTCCAAAAAAGAATGACCTTGTATTACATTTTTGCAAAATTCTTCGATGTCTGGCTAATAGACTAATGGATTCTTAAAATACTTCTGCATTCAATCTGTTGCAATATGTTATTCGGGGTGAAGCATAGGAAGAAAATTCAGTGTCACACAGATTGGTAGTTAGGAAAGAGAGGCACTCTCAGACCCGCTGGGAGAGTCTCAGGGGCTCCCCGGAGTCCTCGGGCCACAGTGCCCAGAGTCTGATTGATTTCCTGAAGTAGGCTTTATTTTTTATTTTATTTATTATTATTATTATTTTAAATGCCTACAGCACTGGTATTCCCAGGTGGTATCCTATCCAAGTACTAACCAGGCCCAAGCCTGCTTAGCTTCTGAGATCAGATGAGATCAGGCACGTTCAGGGTGGCATGGCTGTAGACCTGAAGCAGGCTTTAAACACTTAAAGGCAGGCAATATTTCTTCATTTGGTGGGTCACTGATCCTAGTTCCTGGCTTCCCCTACAGTTTTCATTTGGAACCTGTGATAAAATGTTTTTGACAGATTCACTGATAGAGGGAGCTATTGGCCAATACTAGCCCACGAATCTAATACTGAGATTAAGGATTTTTCTCATTTCACAGAGGATGAAATGGACAGATTTATACAGAACTGGTGTCTGAATAGCCACGATTCTGTGTTCCCCGACATCTGCTTCTCAGAGAGGCTGCCAAGTCAAAACAAAAGTTAGACTTAACGGAATTGACTTAAAATATTTGCATTTATTTAAAAAATGGGAAAAAATTCACAAGAGCTAAGATGTGGAAGCAACCCAGATATACATTGACAGATGAACGGAGAAACAAAATGTGCTATATACATATAGTGGAATATTATTCAGACTTAAACAGGCTGGAAATTCTGGTACATGCTACAACAGGGATGATCCTTGAGGACATTTTGCTAAGTGAAATAATCCTAAGTGAGGTATCTGGAGAGGCCAGATTCATAGGGTTGTGTCAGGAGCTGGTGGGGAAGGGGACAGAATGGGGAGTTGTTTAACGGGTTTGAAAAAGTTCTGGTGATTAGATGCACAACAATGTGAACATACTTAACACTATTGGACTGTACACTTAAAATGGTTAAAATGGTAAATTTTATGTGTATTTTGCCACAATTAAAAATAAATTTTAAAAAGTGGGAAGCAGCTACGAGCAAATTTCTTTAGCTTAGTTCTGGTTGATCTCACTATTTCTTAACCAATCAATTCATCTGTGTAAGTGTTTATTGAAGACATTCTATGTATAAAGTGCCCCTAAGGAGCAAAGATCAGTTAAACACTGTCTGTTCTCAAGGAGTTTGCCCTCTAGTAGAGGGACACACACACACACACACACACACACACACACACACAACTACAAGGCTACAAGAGATGCACTGCCAGAATGAAATGGGTCCTGGAGATGACGGTGCTTAGACTGAAACTTAAGGACAATAGAATTTCTGCTGAGGCTGTTTTGGGAGAGCGGTATGAGCACAAAGGTGGCCGACTCGTTTCTCACCCTGTTGGTCAGGAAAAGGCCGACCAGTTGGTACCGATGTTAAAGATTATTGGTCCAACTTCCCAATAAATCCGAAAATCCACTCTACTTGATGAAGCAAGAAGTCAGGAGGTAATGCAAGGGAAGGCAGTGTGCCTGGTGCAGGGAAACTCTGGTCCATGGTAAAGCACAATGGATTTAGGTCTGCTTCATAGGTCTGCTTTCCATCTCGCTTCTACCTGTGCGCTTTATGAAGCACCTGAACCTCTGAGAATTCCTTTACTCCTCTGTTGCAAGGTTGTCGCATACTATATAATTAACATACCTGAGAATCCTCGGCAAGCATTTGAAACTCCATGTTTATCTCCTCCTTACTATTCTTGCCAATTTCTCTTCCTCTTTCAAGCTTGCCAATTCCTCTACTTCTTTCAAGGACTGCCTGGTGCAAAGTCATGCACTGTCATCCACTACCTTCACGCTTCATTGAGTGGCAGGCTTGCAAGTCCATCTCCTCACCAGCCTGCAAACTCCCCGAGGGTGGTCTGATTGGTTTCTATCACCTAGAACCTGGCACAGATATACAATAGTGTGGTAGTTAAGAGCACAGGCTTTGACTGTCACACACCATCAGAGGTTGAATCCTGGCTCTGCCCCTTACTGGCGATGTGCCTTTGGGCAAGATCCTTAACCTCCTCCCTGGGCTTTAGTTTCTTCGAGTGCAAAGTGGGGAAGATAATTAAAACTACCTCTTAGGCTGTATAAAAATGCTGAAAACAGCTCACGCCTAGAGACTGGCACACGGGAATTCAGAACAGTAACTTACTAGTAAGTTTTCTACTTATGTTTGTTGCTTAAGAAGGAGATAACTACATTCTTTTTCTAAAAGGGCTACGTTCTTATTGGAAAATGTTGCTGAGCTCTCATGATTTGACCTTCACCTCTGGGGCTTCGGAGTGAGTAACGAATGTCCCTCAAAGGCGCTGTAGCCCCGAGACCAGCCAGGTGGGGGCGTGGCTCTGTCTCCCGGCTGCCGGAGGGGCGGAGTCGGCGCGCGGGTCACGTGAGGGCGCGGGAGGCGGGTCTTAGCGCGCGCTGGTCACGCGGCTCTGTGTTGACACTTCCGGGTGGGACCAAAGTGAGGCGGTGGTGCAGGGGCTGGCAGCTTCGGAGGTAACCATGGCGTACAGCGGACTCACGGTTCCGCTGATCGTGATGACCGTGTTCTGGGGCATCGTGGGCCTCCTGGTGCCCTGGTTCATCCCTAAGGGTCCCAACCGGGGGTAAGTGCGCCAGGCCCGCCTGCGGAGGGACGCGCGGCGGGGAGCGGCCGGGCCAGGCGGGGGAGGGGGCGACCCCGCACCGCTCGGAGACCTGGCCGGAGTGGCCCCGCACGCCAGAGTCAGGCCCCGAACCCCGTGCAGCCCCCCGACTTTCTTATCTCAGCGGCTTCGGTGACCCCGGCCCGAGCGGGAGGAGGGTGACCCCCGCCGGACCCTCCTTGGGAAGGAGTTTAGGGAAATTTTTCCTCATCCCGAGCCTGTGTGGGGACAGTGTAGTCGGAAATGGATTTATACCGACTCAAGAAGAAGTTGGAGGTCGTCCCTAAACCACTTTCGCCCCTTTAGCCCTATGCTCCACTCAAATTAGGCCTCGTTTGCCTAAACTTTAAAGGAAGGAACCAAATAAAACACAATGGCCCTCCCCGCCTCACATGTTGTCGCAGTCGCGCAGGACAGGCTGTGCGACCACATCGTGCCCAGGCCTTGCATCTAGTGGGCACCAGTTAGGTAGTTGGGGCCGATCTAAAGCGAGATTAATTAGCGAGGAGCAGGAGGTGTTGTTTAGAAACCCCTGCGTCATACCTTTCGGAGGGCGCTCCCGCCCTCGTGCGTGAGTGGTTAAGAAAGACACTGTCACACGTTAAATAGAGCTAGAGCTTCATCTCTTTTGTAAGTCATCTTCCATTGTAGTCTGAGATAGAGCCTTTGGTACACCCTTTTTTTGCCTTTTAGTTCCTCTTTTGCCTTTTTTTTAGTCATTTTTTCCTCAGTGCAGGGTCATGTGGGGTGAAACTTAGAATGAAGTCAGTTTGTCAGAAACACCATTTTTTTACTCTTTGAAACTAATTGGTGGCTTCACAGTGCTTTGCATGCAGAGTAGGCATTCAGTAAATATCTGTTGAGCGGGTAATTCTGTTTTTATTAAAGGAAAGAAAATGCTATTACTTCCTTAATATTTTGTGACTTGAACCCCTTTTGTTCTCTGGAATAAACTTGCACTAGACCTGTTACTTCCATCCAGCTTAAAAGGAAAATATAGTTTGTTTAAAAAGGAAAAAGGGTAGATGAATTTCTATCATTTGGTGGCATTGGGTCCCCCTTTTCTTTCCTTCTTCCCATAATATACCAGTTATATGGGGTCATCTCCCCAGCCTGTGATAGCGGATATAGAGTGTCAGAATTTTAGGGGTGTTAAAACAATTTGTATTAACCACATCTAATTCCTTAGACTTCTTTCTCTTGCTGGAGTTAGAGAACAACATTGTGCTTCTTAGATGTGTTTCCAGCTTCAGCTATTGCGTTACCCACCTGTCTGCCTTTCCAGCCTTCATACTCAGAAAAGTTTTAATAACGTGCAGGTAGGATCGACCACTCCTTTCTTAAGGACCCCCATCTGGGGCCCACCCTGCCCAGCCTTGGGACTCGATGCCACTGCTATTATCCAGAGAAATGAAATGCCTCCTGGGGTGCATGGGCTACTCAGTTTCTAGCCCTAGTGTCATCAATCGGGTTTGACCTAGTGATATGTTTATCGGAGTCCCAATCTTTGTATTACCTGCTCTTGGCAGGATCAAGCAGGTCTTAAAACCCAGCATCTCCCAGGAGTTACTGCATTAAACTGACTCTGAAAAACACTGCCCCTAGCTGGGTGATCCCTGTGACCTTGGACAATTTAGTTCTTTTCCACGTTCCCATTTCCTCACTTTAAAATGGAAAATATTAGTACTGAATTAGTACTAGTTCCCTTTTACCTCTTGAAAAGACTGCAAATCAGTTTTTTTTTTTCTCCAAATACATGGAGGAGCTGAGTTGCTTCAAGGACTGTGGTGAGTTTTTAATAGCGGTGAGCTTCTCTGGTTTGAAGGATTAAACACGCCTTCATTAAGGAGATAAGTAAAGGAGCTGCTTGTGAAGGGGGAAAGGAGACTTTAGTGTTACACCCTCTTTCTTAAGAGACCCCTGCACATCAGAATGCAGAAAATTGGGTGGAGGTTTTCAGGACCTGGCGAGGCAGGGAAGAAAAGGGCAAAAGGGAAAAATTCTTCTGAATATATATGTATAACCTAAAGCAAGTCCCTTTCTCATTCTTTTCTACAACTGAAAAAGGGCAGGATCAAATCCAGTCGGTGCAAGAATCGGCTTTCCTGGCCATTCCTGTTTTTCCTGATTTTTCTCTTTTCCCTTTAGGAATCCACAGAGCTCTAGAAGCTTCAGGTCGTCTCACAATGGCTCCCTTAGCAGTAGGGGAGGAGATGGGGATATAGCACAGGGATCGTGTGGCAGGAGTTGTCAGCTCCAGTTTCTTCAAACATGCAGAACAGTTTCAAACATAGAAAAGTAGAACAAGTGCTGAGATTATGCCACCATCTAGACTCAGTGATGGCTGCGTATTCGTACGTGCTTCATCTGTGAATTCGTGAGCGTGTGTGTGTACATATCTCACACTGCACTTTTATTTCACGCTCCTGTGTACCCTTATCTTCCTTTCTTGTTTTATTTTTCTTCGACAGCCCTATTGCACCTCTGGCATATACCAATGGATGGATGGATGGATGGATGGATGGATGGATGGATGGATGACGGATAGACACCAATCGATAGATTAGACAGATCCATTGATCTTGTTTGTTTTTTATTCATCTTGTTTGTTGTCTGTCTTCCCCTACTCACTGTAAACTTTGCCAGGGCAGCCTGGTACATACTGGACACTCAGTGAAAATCTGTTGAATGAATGAATGAACGGATGTGACCATATATTAACCACAAAGAGACACACAGAACTTCTAAAGGAGTAGGTTAAAATAAATAAATATAGCTCTGCTATTTGCTTCCTCACTTCCAGAAGATAGTCTTGCTTACCCTGTTGGGGTGTGGAGCCCTCTCTTTGGACACCACTCCTATGGATGATGGGGGGCATTGAAAGGTGTTGAGGAGTCATGCGATGAAAAGAATGTTTTAGAAAGATAAATCTGAGGTGACTGGTGAGAAGGAAAGGGAAGGAAAGAGGTTTTGAATCTGCTAGAAGTTTGCCATGTGAACCTGATGAATTTTGGTTCTAAGGAAAGAAATGGAAGGGAAGAAATCCACTGGCTAAAGATGCTTCAAAAGAGTAACCCACAGCGTTTGGTGACTGGGTGCAGAGGAGGCATGAGCAAAAGGATGACAGATTTGAGGGTGGGTGGGATGGGTAGAAATGGCACAGCTGCTTCTGGGGAGTAGGAGATTCAGAAGGGGGGGGCCTTTGCAAAGAGAAATGGGAAGAGAATATCTTGAATTCAATTTTAGAAACGTGAAAATTCAGCTTGTCAGAGATGCAGGTTTAATTGTTTTTTCAGACAGGAGTGGTGTATGGGACAGGTCAACACCAGGGTCATATTTTTAGAAGGCATCATGTCATTTTGTTGTGGAGAGTACTACCAAGTAGGGTAGTTATTTGGATGTCAAAACGAATTGTCACTGCAGCCTTTGTGTTCAGTTTCAGATGGGTTTGGATTAGACCTCTAAGCTGTGGCATACATATCCCATTAAATACAAATAAATGTTTAATTATTTACTTAAACTTCTAACAGATGCACCCTAGGATGCACTGCAGTCTATGGGTGTTTGAACAGATTAGATGCATTTTCTTGGTGCGCAGTCTATACTGGTTTAATAATTGGGAAGGGGACTTGAACCTGATGCAAGACAAGGCGAATTTCCCCGAGTAGGGGTGAGACTAAGCCTTGTACTGAGAGAAGAAGAGGGTCGTTTGGTGGAGAGTGTAGAAAGACTTCACACCAAAGTTTTATTCAAAGGGAAAGTTCATTAGAAAAGGGGGAACACTCCACAGAGTGTGGTCTCCTCTCAGAGGCAGACAGTGAGAGGGACTCAGAGAGACAGAGACAATAGAAACAAAGATAGTGAGAGGCAAGTGTCAAGGCACTGAGAGCGACCCTGAGTGTTCAGGAGATTCAGTTGACATGTCATCCTTTAGTTCCTGTGAGTTACAGTTTAAAAGACTTTGTTAACCCATTTCCTTCGATATGGACAAACAGTGAGGAAGGGGAAGAGTTAGTACCAGCCTGAAGAGGTAAGAATATGCAGAGTGAAAGGCCTGCTGACAGTTCCCAGCCTTTAATCCGTAGGTTGTCCATGGTTTTAACAATAAGGAATGAACGATTTGATTTTGTGTAGGGCAGCCCCTTAAAGACTCTTCTTTTTCCTGTTTCCCCTTCACAGGTGTGGGGAAATGGGCTGTTAACAATCCCAGCAGAAATCTCCCTTTGTTCTGCAGGTGTCCTCCTGGCCTCACTGCAGGGCTGATCAGCATATTGCAGTCTCTGAAAGCAAATTGATTTACCATTTTTAATTCTCTTGCTTCCTCCTACATTAATTCTATAGTATCTGCATAGTTTGCAAGCTATCTAATTATATTTCTTTTATTTATTTATTTATTCACTCATTCATTCTTTTATTTATTTTTCAATTACGGTTGACGTCAATATTGCATTAGTTTCAGTCGTACAGCATAGTGGTTAGACATTTAGATATGTTACGAAGCGGTCCCCCCCGTTAGTCTAGTACCCACCTGGCACCATGCATAGCTATTAGAATGTTATTGACTCTATTCCCTGTGCTGTATTTTACATCCTCATCTTTTTATTTATTTATTTTTTTTAGAGTTATCATAACCATGTTGGTGACCTGTTCGGTTTGCTGCTATCTCTTGTAAGTATGTTTGTCTCGTAAGTTGTTTTTCCTAAAATAATAAGCGTTGTTCTTGGTGTTTATAATGTGTGTGACTGAAAACGAAATCAGTGGCACATGATCGTTGTGAAACTTTACAGCTTAGTTTCATCGGAGCCTGCCCCTCATGTGACACAGGGAAATAGTGTCCTAAGCTTGAAAATAGCCACTTTTTCTGTGTTGGGTATTTGCAGAAATTTATAGCTATGTAACATAATTATATATAAATAAGTTCAGGGAAATAGTGTCCTAAGCTTGAAAATAGCCACTTTTTCTGTGTTCGGTATTTGCAGAAATTTATAGCTATGTAACATAATTATATATAAATAAGTTTACGTAGGAACTGTACAGCTACTCGGATCCTCTCTACACACAAGTACTGTTTATTTGGCTCAAGTTTAAAGCTTGTAATTAACTAGAAATCGACATCGTACTCCTTTATTACACACTATTGTGAAGTATTTAGGCCTCCTTATTTCACTTAAATATCTCACTATGAACCCATTAAAGACATTCTTTATTATGACTTTCGTTTATCTAATGAACAGAATTTGAGCTAGAATTATAAAGAAGTGGAGTAAGGACCATTTTTTTCAACTAAAATGTTTGTGATTTAAAGGTATAATAGCATCTATTTGAATAGTCTATATAGTTTTTATAAATTGTTGAATGAAAACCGTTTTAGGATATGTAAGGTAATTCCTCAGCGTATATTTTTGGAATACTGCTCTTTATCCTCATGAGTGTCAGAAATGGCAGAACTGCAGTTGAACTGTTTTAAAGATGTTTCCAGCTCTTGTCTATCTTCTCCCCTTCCACGAAGCATGGAAGGAGTTATAGTTTAAAAGACTGAGTATTAAATCAATTCTTGGAGAAAATAACTACTTCAGAATATTCAAAGGTTTCATGATTTTTTTTTTTTTTTAATTGATATATATTTCCCATACCATAAAATGCATCCTTTTAGGCATTTCTTTTTGGAGTTTTGAACCAGTGATTTCTCTTCTTAAAGCTTCCTAGCTTCCTGAGAATTCATTATAAGGAAAATATCGCTGTTGGCCAGCTGATTGTATGGTGCTCATATGAGGTAGGAAACAGCAGTTCCAATCTTGTAGTGTAAAGGCCATGGCTCTAGATTCATGACTCTGCATCTATGGATTTCTCATAGTTTTGGGCTTTTCACTAAGGTTTTTTCAAAGACTGTGGGGATGAACCAATACTAGTTTTTGGCATAGATCAAAATCCCTTCCCCCCGCCCCCCCCCCAAGAGTTATTACTGTGAATTTTGGCCTTCCGATCATTTAGTCAGATGTTTAATTAAGTGCAGCTTTAAGTGTTTACAGCCAAATCATGATGCACTCTACAAGTGGTGCTAAATGATGATCGTGGTGGACTGCCACAACACCAGAGCTCAGATGATGACACTTCCTATAGTTGGCTGGTTTAGCCTTTTTTTCCTGATGACAGAGGTAAAGAGGCTTTCCCGGGTGATAGCTCAGCCTCCAGAATGGAAGTTTGCCAGGTAGCATGTGGCAAAAACTAGCGAGTGTTCATTCTCACACGAGCTGCGCTCAGCTCTGAAGAGTAAATAAGAGGAAGTACAAGCATGAGGAGTTGTCATTCTGGTAGGGGTGTTTGAGTACCCATTCACCATCCTGGTAGATCCCCTGCTGAAACCCCAACATGAGCTCTTTATCAATCCGGGAGCCAAGGAATGGTCCTGCGGTTGAAAAGGCTTTTGTTTTTATTTCTCTGAAGTTCTCTGCCACCTGTGCAGTGAGGTCGATATTGGGACCTTAACAAAGAACAAATTATTGCACAGAGGAACAACTTTAGAGTAAACCAAGATGAGACGAAAATGTTTTCTGACTTTCTGGTCCGCCATCATCTTTGAAATTCAGTTACTCTTCATGATATTCTCTTTAAAACAAACAAAACGCTTTTTCAATTCGTCTCATGCCTCTTATTTTCATTTTCAAGTGAAAAATGAATGACTGGACTTGGTTGGAAATTGAGTCTTAATGACTTAGTTGAGGACCGTCTGTGAGCCCTTGCCTCTTGCCGTCTAAATTTTAGACCATTTTTTCCTTTGTCTCAACATGCCCTTGATGACTGTTTTGACAGTGGATTGGTATTGTCATTGGTGTGTTAATAAAGGTAATACACAGAGTTCCAACATTAAGTACTTCCGGAGGCCATTTTATGGGAAAAAGCTGGATAGTATAGACTTTTCGAAATTATTTTCTTCTTCGAAACCTGATCTTGTATCCTACTTAGCAAAATATCTGCCTCAAACATATGGGTGGAATTCAAAACCTAAATATTTATACTCCTTATTCCACCATTCCACAAAAGGATGGGATTCTATAAAAAAATTAAATTCGAAAGTCAAAGAAAACTTCACTCTTTGGTGTTAGTAAGTATATTTTCTTGAAAATACCTCTTTGAAAGGAAGACACACCCAAAGAAACTGGATTTCCTAAACAAAGTCATGTTTTGCAATACATTCGTGTGCTTTTAAAGTGCTTTCTTTTTGTGGCAGTTATTTCTTTCCAGTTTGTTCTAGTTGAAGGGTAAATTCTGTGGGGCGTGACGTGTTTGAGCTCTGAATAAGCCAGGATCTCTGCCAGTAAGACTGGTTTGTGTTAACAGTTCAGCAGAGGAAAAGTCAGAATTTCATAATAAAAATTCAGTTGGGGACATGCTAAGATTGAGATAGATACCTGTGAAACTTCAAAGAGAGATCAGATGGGAAACTGGATATAAGGAGAGATACTTGAAGCCATGAGAATGTCTATAATTTCCTAGGCAGTAGTTCTCTACTGGGGCTGCCGCTGGCATCCAGTGGGCAGATGCCAGGGATGCTGCTGGACATCATACAGTGGTCGATAAACCTACCTTTAGGGAAGGGATGGAGAGAGAAGAGAGAGGACAGGGATGCCAGCATTTAGATGTTGTACAGATGGGGAAGGGTCAGGAAGGGGCAACCTTGAGCCTCCGCTCTTGAATCAGCAGGAGTGACTGGAAGGGACTACCGATCAGACAGCAGTAAAATCAGCAGGCAAGCACCCCAAAGGAGAAATCAGCTTTTCACAAGAGTGGGAGAGAATTGCCTGGAGGCAGCACAGGGAGAGCAAAGAAGTTCGCACCCACATTGCCAAAGCCTGAGTTGTCTGGTGTAAGAATAAGCAGCCCTTTCTGCTGGAGGGAGCCTGGGGTAGCTGGAGGCAAGGGAAGTGGGAGAACAGAAGGTGTGTGAGTGAGCGGCACAATTGAGCAAGTTACAGAGAACACAGAGGAAAGAAGGAGCGGGTGGGAAGCCGGATCCAGCACTGAGATGAGCAGCGCAGTCTGGGGATGGAATTGGATCATAACATGGTCCTGGGAGGTTTGGAAAGAAATTTTCTGACCAAAATTAAGGTAAGCAGTCATGAGACTTGTTGAACTTAGTTCTTCTAGTTCCTGTCCCGAGGTAAGGACTTGGACCTGAGGCTTCCCACAGGAGCGTGGCCGTGGAGAGGCTTTGGCAGGAAGGCAGTCAGGCATGGCTGCTTCCGGGGCCACGGGCACTAGACTGGTGGGGTCAAGCTTTGTTTATGCGGTTTTGTTTTCCCAGTACAGATACCCAGTTGCTTGAAGACTTTCCTTTCTCCGTTAAATTGCTTTGGCATCTTTGTTCAGAATGCTTTGACCACATTTGTGTGGGTCTCTTTCCAGACCGATCTCTTTGTCTAGCCTGTGGCAATACCATACTCTTCAGTAATGTAGCTTTGTATTGACATCAGAAGTCATAAGTCCTCCATGGTTGTTCTCCAAGATTGTTTGGCTGTTCTAAAATAGCCACATAATTTTTAGAATCAACTTGTCAGTTTCTTCAAAAAAGATTTTAACTGGGATTGTGTTAAAGCTGTATAGATCAATTTGGAGAGAACTGACATTTTAACAACACTGAGTCTTCAGCTCATGAGTGTGGTATGTCTGTTTATTTAGATTTTTTAAAAAATTTATTTCCTTTCTTCTGACTTTGGGTTTAACTTGCCCTTTCTCAAGCTTCTTAAAGTAGAAATTTAGATCACTGGCTTTAAACCTTTGTTCTTTTTTACATGTAAGAAATGAATGCAATAAAAATTCCCTGTAAGCATTTCTTTAGCTACAGCCTGCAAATTTTGATGATGCTGTGTTTTCATTTTTAGAAGTGTGGTATTTAATTTCCAAATATTTGGAGCTTTTCTAGATAATCTTATCAGAAGAAACACTCTGTAAGATTCCAATCTTTTGAATATGGGAGCATATTTATGGCTCAGCATATGGTTTATCTTGACTGTTTCATGTGCATTGGAAAAGAATATATATTTTGTAGTTTTTGAGTTTTGTGTTCTGTAAACATCAGGTCAAGGTAGTTCAAATCTTCTTTATCCTTATTGAGTTTTTTGGTCTCCTTTCATTAATTGCTGAGAGAGGGTGTTAAAATCATTAGCTATTGTGGATTATTCTGTTTCTCTTTTTAATTCTTTTGATTTTTCATATTTTAAAGCTCTGTTATTAGGAACATATACATTTGTGATTATTATGTCTTCTTCATGAATTGACATTTTTATCATTAGGAAATGTCCCTCTTTATCCTCGGTAATAGTCCTTGACTCGATTTTTATTTTGTCCAGCACTAATAATCATACCACACTTCCGATGCTCACTGTACCTTTATATTTAGAATGCCTTTTTGCAAATAGCCCAGTCTTTTTTTTTTTTTAATCCATCTGACCATCTTTGCCTTTTAATTGGCAAATGGATATTTTTTATACCATTAATGTAATTGTTGATACAGGTAGGTTTGGCTTCACTATTTTATTAATTGTTTTCTATTTCTTTCATCTCTTTTTTATTCATCTATTCTTTTATATTTTATTTTAGGTTAATTGAATATTTTTAGTATTCTGTTTTAATTCCTCTAAGTGCTTATCAGCTATACTTCTTTATATTTT